GGACAGTGATGTTATCCGGTTTCGAGTCGAATCGGAGGTTCCAGGTCGCTATACGCATCCCAAGTGCTGATGAGGCGAATAATAGGAGGGATGAGAACCGGGGAGTGATCATGCTGCGGGGTGATGGAGGCGAGCCAGATCTTTTTCTTCTCCTTCGTGCCTTTTATTCGAGAAAGTCCGGGACGCGTGATGGTGGAGAAGAAGTCTGTGCTGAGAAGGTTGATGAACGTGTATGAGTTGCACATGGGTGACCATCTGAGCATATTGAGTGTAGGTCTGTGCAGGTACAGGGATTCACAGCCGTGGTAGCGGTCTACCATATGCTAATGATCAGAATGATTGATCAACCGAGAAGGAATCGAGCTCACAAGTCACCAGACTAATTCTTGACTCGGGTAGTAGACCTGTGTCGTCGGTCATCACGGAATGAACACAGTTTGGTTTGAGTATCTGCCGTGAAAGGTCATCGAAGGTTGAACATGATGGGAGTGAGAAAGCAAGGGGAGAAGTCGCCAATCCTTCCTCTTGCGGTGCAAAGGCGGAGTTCCAATCAGCTTCAAAATTAATTGATCATTGACTCGTTGGCAGTTGAGCCATCGAGGCCTCAAGCCAAGCTCAACCTCATCTCAAGACCGACGTGTGGTTCGTCGATGTTTGAAAGATTGGGTATGATCAAGAAAAATTACGTATTGGGCGAAGTACGATAACGAATGCACAGATGACGGAACCGATCAACATGAATTGCAACACCCCAGGCCACGACACATGTACAACCACCACCTACCACACCTACTCCGTCTCAGCCCACGGTCTATCTACATTAACATCATCCCCATCCCCTCCTTCCTCCGCATCATTAACACCATTCAACGTCAACGCCTCCATCATCCTCGTAAAAAGATTCATATCCTCCTTCGCCCTCTCCCTAATCTCCGCCCCATAGTCACCCAAATCCACATCCGCCTCGGTATCCCACATCGGTTCAGGCCCGATCCACCCATCGTTATCGTAGATGTAGTTCATGAACGCGCGCCAGAGGGGGTCGAGGGATAGAACGTTGGGGTCTCCGACGATGACGAGGAGGGATTGTGCTCGGGTGATTGCCACTGGTTTGGATATGGTTTGGTCAGACGAGATGCGAGAAGATGGAGAACTCACCATTGAACCGCCTCGGATTCGCTACGAAACCAAGCGTATGACGGAGATCGTATTCGACGAACTCGCGACTGCTACGAACGGTGGAGACGATGATGACTTTGCGTTCCTGTAAAGTCGGTCGGTGGTGAGATGGGGAGGTGTCGGTGGGCAAATTATCATGAATACTCACCTGCCCCTGAAACTCTTCCACACTCCCAACCTTGATCGAATCTGCGAAACTCCGGAACGCGGTTCGAAGCTTCAAAACCTGGGCGTGGTATGGAGCGATGACGCCGATATCGTTGTCGGCTATATAAACCATCCGCGTTAGTGGCAGCCATCAACCGCTGAATTCCTGGATACCACTCACTCAACCTCAGCTTCCTATCCGACCTCAACCTCTGCACGAGTGCCTTGACCGCTGTGACCTCGTCAATGTTAAAGAACGAAGGTGACGAAGCCTCCCGATCATCTTTCCCGGAGATCGAATGGAAGACGATGGGGAACTTGGGAGATGCTAGATGCGACGAGTTGAGGAAAAGATTCGCGACCTTAGGGTCTGCACAAGGTTCCAGATCACCACCGTAGAACCGTTCGTTGGGGAACTTCAAGATTGCATTATGTGACCGATAGTTCTTGGTCAATTTCACCACACTGCCAAAATAAGCAGTGAGTAAAGCTTTCAAGATGCAAACAGCGATGAAACCACACTCACGACTTCCCATACCCCTCAACCTCATCATAAACCTCCCTCGCCATCAACCGTTCAATGAACGCAACCTCCAACCCCAACTTCCTCGCAACCGTCGACCTAATAATCGGACCCAACTGCTTCGGATCCCCACAAAGCACAACATTCGTATCGTTCCCCGCCATCGACTTGATCGCCACCATAACCTCAGGCTCCGTAGCTTGCCCAGCTTCGTCCACGAAGATATGACTATAATGCCCCCTCGGAATTCCAATCCCCGAAACGATGTTGGCAGATATACAAGTCGTAACCACGACCCTGAATCGTTTCATCCTAAAAAGACTCGGGACGGAGAAGTGACCGTTGGCGTTTCGAAACGTGAAATCGATCAACTCGTGAGGTACTTGATCTTTATTTCGGGATGGTGCGTACGCTCGGAAGAGGACGTTGGAGCCTAGGGCGACGAGACGGAGTGCGATGAGGTCGGCTGCGGAGTTGCTGGGTGCGCAGGCGAGGATGCGGGATTCGGGGTAGGTGTCGAGGATTTGACGGATGGATTCGACCATGGTGACGGTTTTGCCGGTTCCGGGGCTTTTTTTCAACGAACGAGAGAGGGAGGGAATCAATAGGGCGTTTCGAACGAAGGTATGAAGGGATCGTAAACTCACGGTCCGAATATTACGAAAGGAATCGATCCAACTGGTGCACGGGCAAGAGAGATAACAGCTTGTAGCTGTCGCGGGTTGGTTGCGATCGTACTGTTATACGTGCGTACCCCCGTTCCTCGAGGGATCGCACCTCGACGGAGGTGCTCTGGTCCGGGGAACAAGACACGTTCTTGGACGAACGCTGTGTCTAGTGCTTGGTGTTCACGACGAACGGGGTATCGGTTGAGTTTGAACCTGACTAGGAAGCGGTCGCTGGGGTTGGCGATGAAGGACCGGTGGAATTTCATGCCGACTTCTTCCCTTCGGACGACGTGGACACCGCCTTCGAACCAGTGGCCTTGGGCGCTTCCGTTGCGTTGGACGAGGATTCGGTCGCCTAGGAGAAAGGATGAGGATGAGGATAGTCTTGATGAAAGAAGAGGTTGAACATACCGACTAACACACTTGGTCGCTTTTCAGCCAGTCCTGGAACATCAAGGCTGGCAAGGTCAAATGAGAAACAAGCCAAAATCAATGAGATAAGGATCAGGCTCACTAGTAGTAGGAGTTGTGCCGTGTAAGCTTCGCATTGTGCATGTCATAATGCTCAAGATCACGTCTAGAAATCATCATCAAGGTCATCAAACATATCCAAGGAAGGAAGAAGAACGAATGAAACGAACTCCATTTGGTGCTCCTCCGCCCATAGAAGATGCTTGAAGTGCTTCCCATACCCCGCACTATCAAGTACACGAGGTAGATACACCTTCTGCATCCTCTCTATGATCTCCTTGGTAGACCCCGACGAAAGCGTGCGTGCAACATGTGACGGAATCGGCGCCTGCGGCAACTTCCCCACGTACGGGATAGCTTGCAACGACGGTGCAGGTTCTCCGGGAACGACTTCCACTTCCGGTTGACGAGCAGATCTCTTTCGGGGTTTGTAGGGTGTTTTGGGCTTGAGATCGTTCTGGTCAGATTGGCTTCCGACGTGGACGCGTAAGGTTCGGGAGATGATGAAACGTGTGCGTAGTTGTAGGTCGTGGAATGTGAGGTCGAGTCGATCTTCGGTACGGCCGTAGTATTTGGCGGTCATGTCGACTCGGAGATGGATCGGGGTAGAAGAGGTGACGGTGCGGTTTGGTCCACGCAATGACACCTTGAATCTGGGGAAGTTTTGATTAGCGAAGCTCGGAAGGAAAGGTGGGTCTGAACGATCAGAGTAATACTCACGGAGAGTACGTCCGCCGTCCCTGGGACGAAGCCAAAGTACACCCAATCAACGAAACCCTAACAGCCGGATTAGCCTTGACTGACGCCTCAACCGCAACCCCTCGTGTCGCAGCATTCAAATCAACAATCCCAAAATCAAACGTCCCCTCCACCGAAACCCCATTCTTATCCTTCTCCGTCTCCTCCACAACCGACGTAAACGCGAAAAACTGTTCACGATCCTTATGCTGAGGCATCGAGGGATGACGCGCCCAAGATCTATTAGGGATATGCCGATTACACACGGTGCACAGTTGGTGGTCCGGTACCACATCGGGTTCTTCAGGTTCGACCTCCGGTCGAAGTCCCAGAGATGTAGCGCGCGAGGCGTGTTTGAGGCTGCCCACGTGTGATGACCAGTTTTTCATGCCGGGGATGTATTTTTGACAGATGGGACAGAAGAGGAGTGTGCCGGTTTCGCCTTGGGTTTTGTTGAGGTGTTGTTTTGTGGTGAGGTGGTGTTGGTAGTCGGGTTCGGTGTGGAAGACGGCGCTGCAGAGGGTGCAGTTGCGGATGTTGTGTTCGTAGGGACATTGGGTGTCGGTGCAGGTGCCGGTGGAGAGGACGTTTGGGCAGGAGCGGGATGTGGAGGGCTGGTTGGAAGACATTTTGTTTTGGAGAAGGGGGGGTGGGGTCAAGATGGGTGAAGGAAGGAAGGAAGGAAAGAGCAATTGCCACTCGTTTGTGTTTATATAGCAAAAAGGGAAGGAAGAAAGAAACCTCGCCCCCTCGCTTGCCGTTCTTTCCTTCCATTCATAACAAAGGGAAGAAACGTGCCCTTTGGCGCACAAAGCTTGACCGCGTTTGGCAAGTCTTCCATCGATCGCAACGCGATTGGATCGCGTTTTCATTCCCTGGACCCACAAATTCCATGCTGTTAGGATTCCAGAAACCCTCTTTGACACCTCTGCCGTTCTGCGCAGTAGAACAGCAGACCTTTTGAACCTTGTTTCAATACAGATGCCTCGCCGCAAACGTGTTTTGGGCTAGTTAGAAGAAGATAACATGGTGGTAGGCACCGGAGCTTGAACCATGTTTCTCGAAGTCAGACTCGGGTAGATCGTGGTTGGTGTCAAAGCAGTAGATCGTGGGAGATAGTACTGTGTATTCCTAGAATAGGCATGAGATTTCACCATCGTCCCGCTTTTTTTTTACCCACCTCGTGTCCGGAGGTCTGAAGCATCCTCATGATTTCCGACTGCTTTGACCTCTGCGAGCTGGTGATAGCTGTCTAAAATGGCTATCCGTTCTAAGGCCGCCTGGCGAAATGGCATCGCGTCTGACTACGATACCAGTGCCAATGGCATGTATAGTTATCAGGAGATTGCAGGTTCGACCCCTGCGGTGGTCATTGGTTCTTTTATTTTCCTTTACAGAGCATCTTTACTGAGTTCACAAAAATGGGACTCCATCCAACTCATATCGTGCCCCAGACCGGAGGCATATGTAAACCCCGGACACGATATCTATCCTGGAAACCAAAACCATCTCACTGCTGCAAGAAAATATCCGCAAAAACGGGTCTGTGATCACTCGTCACAAGCCCATCGTCCTGCAACGTCGTCGGCACCTTGTACGCCGTCGATTTCCTACACAGAAAGAAAGAGCAGAAGTTCACTTCAACGAAAACCAAACCACAGGGAAAGAACGCACCACTTCATGTTGCTCCCCCCAAAGATAAAATCGAGCCTCATCCACTCCGAAGTGTCCTGAGAGTTGAAACTCGTCCACGTAGCAAAGTTCTTCGAAACGGCGAGACGAGGGGTGTGGCCTCGTAGATCGAGCATCTTGAAACCCTGCCCTTCGTCACCGGTATCGAACTCTTTGGCGAAGCGTTCATTGATGGCTACGGGTGGAGTGGATCCTGTTATGGTGCGGTATCCACCGGAGTCGTTGCCTGTGGCTTGGCTACAGAAAGTAAGTCAAGGGGACTCAGAGAGGGTAAGAGAGGAAAAAAAGGTATACGCGTACCTGTTAAAGTCCCCGATAACGAAAACAGGTATACCGCCGTTATTCTTGTACGCTTCGTATTTGGCTCTTTGGAGGAGGAGAGATGAGCCCAACGTGCGTTGGTCTTCGATTTTCCAGTCGAGGTGAGTGTTGAGGATTGAGAAGGCCTTTGGGGTGCCTGGGGGTGGGTTGTTTATGGTGAACTGTGCGATAGTACAAATACGGTGTTGGGCCTCTGGGTACGCGGATGGTTCGTAGGGTGTGTGGCTGTATAGATGAAGAAGTCAGGGGGGTGAGCGTAATGAGGGTGAGTGATGGGGACTGACGAGAGCCAGAAATGTTTCGCCTCGGAGACGAGGGTCAATGCTGATCTACAACACGGGGGGGAAAGGGTTAGCTTGACGTCCAAGTCAGTCGACATTTTAGAAAGAGCACTTTTTGTAGAAGATGGGACAATATTCTCCCTTTTCCTTCCCATCGTCTCTGCCAGCTCCAACCCAGGCCCAGTCGTCACCGAGAAGCTGATCTAAATCGTCGATTTGATTTTTCAAAGCTTCTTGCAAGCCTATACAGTTGTTAGTCGACCGCCGACAGCCACAGCACGAAAAGCGAGTGGAAAAAACTAACCAACTAGGTCGGTGCCTTCGTTCAGTAACGTTTCGGCGATTCTAATTCTTCTGTCGGCCCAGTTCTGTTCGTCGTGTAGAGTGAGAAAGGGAAACTGGACGGTGCAATCGGGTAGTTTGTCGATGGTGTCTTTGAGCGGAATGTTCTTTGGATCGGAGTCATATCGGATGTTCCAAGTTGCGATACGCATTGTGAATACTGATGGTGCTTAGTGCTACGAGAGAGTTATGAGAACGAAGAGTCGAACAAGGTTTGGATGATGGAGACGAACCAGAACTGATACCAGCTTAAATACTTTGTGAGCTATAGCCCGGGCCCCGAGGTACGCAGTCAAGTCGGTAAAGCTGGGAAAAATAACGGCTGTAGGAGGCCACCGACGTCGTGTCAGTGTCGTAGTTGACACCGCTTGGAGAAGGCTTTAGTATTTCGCTATGAAGGCCCAGGAACGTCTAGGAACGTGCATTCAGTTTGTGTAGGCAAATAACGGGCGTCGATGTTAACCGATGTGCCAGGTGATGCTTCAAACTCATTATCTATAGTCAAAAAGTACTAGAGAACGTACCTGAAGGGTCACAGTCTAGGTTGAAGGTGAGCTTAGCCTCGAGGCGAGCCGATGCACGATCCGACCTGCCCTAAATCCGCTGCGACAGCCTGATCACACTCGGAGCCGGAGCCCGAATCTTATCTTTTTCTCCCGACCACATTCGACGTGCACTTGGGAAACACACGGTCAACCGAATTCGTTGACCATTTTTCTACTATGCGTCTTGAAATCTGTTGGAGCATGGGCACGAAACCCAGAGATGGTTAAACGTTAGCTTGGCAGACCTCCAGGGACCACCATGTTTTCATATAAACGCACATGCTAGCTCTCGACTCAACTACCGCCGTTTTGACCTCTGCAACACCAACTCAAGACTGATCTACCCATACAATGTTTCTTGCGTTCAATCTAGACTCGCCTGAAAGCTGGCTACTACTCCATGTTGGACCAAGCATTCGAAAAAATAGATGCCCATTCTATGCAACATCAAAATTCAGGACCTATAGCAAAGAGCAACACCTTCAAGGCGCGTCTCATCGCTATCCCTCAACCTTAACAAAAGCATGAATAGAAAGATGTACGGGCGATATGTGTAGAGTTCGAATGGTATTCGTCAGTACCCTTTAGCGAAACGACACAAAAAAAAAAAAGAACTGGATCTCGCGAGCTTGTCTCCTGCTCCTGCTGCCACTCCTTTCACCGGTACTCTACCCAGTCGATCAGCTTGCAACATACGTGATATCACCAGCTCTAATCGAAAACAGCATCTCAAATGGAAAGCTCGTACACTAGAGGGCTGGGAAAGGCACTAATGGACACATTAACATCGGTGTTCTCGAAAGCTGAGAAGGACAAGAATGGCCCGATCCTGATGGGTGCCGAGCAAAACGTTCCCATCGCTGCTACGGTCCAGTCAAACCGTACGCTGAGGTCGCCCAAGGGAACCCGGTCGTCCTTCTCGTGGATAATTTGATGTTCTATTCTTTTACCGAAAAATACGACTGAACGTACTCTTTCAGATTCCGTTTCATAGTCGAAGGAAAAAACGTTATCGATTCCTCCGCTCATTACCAAGTACTAAGGACTACGGAATAGCTGAAGATCGACTCGAGCTTATCTTTCACGTGACAGCTCCATACCTGTTTCCTCATCTTCCGCACTCTACGGCAGTCAAAATTCGCCCACGATGATTTCGTTCCCAAGAGAACTTACATTTCAAAGCCAAAAAAGCGGTCTGCCCGTCAACCGGAGACGGAAGTTGCTGGTGGCGAGCCTGCACCGTCGTTGGGGGCGGTTCTGTATCTCATGAAAAGTTCCACGGACTCTGGCTTTAGGGAATACTGACCAGGTCCTATAGTCGCTGCGGAAAGACCATCTCCCGAAGGTCTTTGATCGTGCGGGGTAAGGTATGCAGACCAGTGAGTTCCAGATGGAGCACGTATCGCGTTCCCGTTGCTTCTCTTTCCAGCCGTGATCTTTAGTACTCCGACGACGTGACGGATGCGAGAGAGGCCGTGAGGGAGACGTCGGGGTGGTGTCTTATTGAGCATCGCTTCGATTTGCTTCCCAATATGTTTTGATCTACTGTGCTTTGCTTCTGCTGTGTGCACGGTCATACGTCCATCGAACTCTCGTTCATTCATCTGGGCGTGCCTCCATGATGTAAAAAGTGAATAGCATTGAGAATCCTGAATGTGACTAGCAACAGGTACAAAGAGAGATGAGTTAATAACACAAGAAAGGAACGTGGTGGCTTAGAGCGCCTAGATACATACAGAATAAATAATCTCGAGAAGGAACGTGAGGCCACCGCTGTGGCACTGAATGGCTGATATACTTAGAATAGGCGAAGGTGTTCATACAACGGATGTGAGAGGGGTTGCGCCGGGAAAGAGAGAGATCTGTTCCGTGTGATGAGCTTTTAGATAACCAAAGGACGCTTATTTGCTCTGGATACAGTGTCAATAACCGTCCGAGATCAACTCATTGGTTGTAAACTCTGTACTGGTATCCACTTGGTCGGGGAGCGGAGGATGGCGCGTTTCTGTGTCGTGTCTGTGCCTCGGGGCGGGCATAATACTGTTGAGAAACAGTTGGAATAGCCCTTGGAGGTGGAGGTTGGGGATAGCCACGAGGAATAGCAGGTGCCGGTGAGTGATAGTAGTTGGTGTGAGAGCCGTAGCTACCGGACGATGAAGAAGAAGTCGTTGCTTGCGAGTCCTTGGACTCGGCCCTCTTTCTAACCGCATTGGATCGGGCGAGTGGCTCGTCCCAAGAGTCCAGTGCCTTCATTGTCCTGATCTCGCTGACGGTTCGCATAGGCACAGCACGCGGACGAACCATTGCGTTGGAAAAGGCGTGCGCGGAGATGGGGACCGGATCGTGTTGGGTAGGACGAGTGTTGCTGGAATAGAGGGGGAAGACTTGACGGTGCTTCGCGTCGATCTCGGCTGCGGTCGAGCGAGAAACTTTGTAAGTACCCTTGGAGCAACCGTGACATTTGTACGATCCTGATGTAGGCTTCGGGCTGTTGGGGTAGGTGCACTTGGAGTTGTTGCACTTGTGGTGGAAGGCGGAAGGCCAGTTGGCGGGAAGTTTTTTGCCGAAGGCTACAGATTTTGGAACATGGTCAGAGCTACTCAACGAGTACGAGAAATGGGAAGAACTCACAGAACATGGTATAAGGAGAAGATTGAGTGAATAGCGGTGAAGATCGAAAGTGGCGAATAAGGAAGGGAAGGCGAGGTTAGGAAGAGATACCGGACCTCAACGTGCAAGGACAATTATTCAAGGAAAGTGTGGGTTGTGTATTCCGCAGAAACTTACCTCTCTATTTATACCCTACCCCAGGCATCAATAAGCGCGAACAATGTGGCAACTTCGACAAAGAAACCATCCACATTTCCGTTTTCGACGAATATAGATTTGCCAGACAATGGTCGGAGTCATAATGGCCACATTTGGACGACAGCGGGTAGACTTTTCTGGAGACATCGCCGAGAGGCAAGGATTCTATTGTACAAAAGACCTCGGCTTGAAGAAGTAAGTTTGAAGCCCTTCCACTCGATCAATCCTCCTAAATGTGAGGTGGAATGCTAGAGGTACCCAGAAGAACGCTAGGGACCCTTGTAGACATGGAAATTGAAATGGCATCGAGCACGTCCTGTGAGAGGCCTGATTCTCCCAGGCGTTCCTAGCGCAACAGCTTGCTCCCCAGCAGGAATGGTGGC